ATATATATATATGTAATTTACAGGCTAATGTTAATTACCATGTTGGTAACAATGTAAACACACCTTACAAATACGACCTTAAAGGTGAAGTTAAACTGCCATTTGAAAAACTGCAAAATCTCAAATTACACTTATCTGAAAGTTTGTTATTAAATCTTGGAGAAAATAATCTTGTTGAGTATTCAAATAATTACGATATTACTTATAACAATGATAAAAATATTAAGATGGAAAGTCAAATGAAATACAAGGGTAATAGTAAAAACAATGAAGGTGGTGGAAAGATTAGTTTGACTGTTCTTCAATATCCAACATTAACTATTGAAAATACATTCAATAACGCAGAATCAGAAAATATACAGAAAGGTTCTTTATCGATGAAATTGAATTATGGTGACAAGGGTGGAACTTTGACAATTAATGACGCTTGTGCTTACGATTTATCAATGATCGAACTCAAGGCCAAAGCTACGACGACTCTAGACAAATTAAAAAATATCGATTTCCAACTTAGCCATCAGGTAATGTCCTTGAACAAATTTCATTTATAATAATATCGAGGTGGATTTAATTAAACCCTTGGAGTAATGAATTATTTAAAGATTTTTATGCATATTTATATAACAAATTGAATTTGTTGCTATATGGATTATTAATGTTAAAGTAATATATTTTATTTGAAATATATTTATATTGATGATATAAATATATTTTTGCAATAAACTTTCAATTAAAAAATATAAATAAATATATAAATTTTACAAAATAGAAATATTTACATATTTTATATATTTATCTTATATATATATTTATATATTTATCTTAAATTCCCAAAGGGTTATATAAATTATAATTATATAAATAAATATATAAATTTTAAATAATAATATATAAATAGAAATATTTATATATTTAATATATTTAATATATTTATATTAAATATATTAAAGAGTTCATTTGACAAAAAACACATTTCGCAAGCAACATTAGAATAATAATCTCATTAAATTAATATTTCTAGGCAAAACCAGAAAAGAATAATAGACAAACTGAAGCCACCTTGCAATTGGATGATTCAAAATATACATTGAATACTGAAATTCAAGAACTTAGAACTGCACCATTGATTCACATTACCTTCACATGTCCAAGCGGCGTGACAGAATTATTATCCAAATTCCAGAAACTCGGTGACAGCGATTACACAGGTGATTTGACTTACCTATTCAAATTTTTGATTGAAAATAAAATGAATGAAGATATTTTCATTGTTTAATTCTTTATGATCTTTAGGTGAATGGAAGATTGAAACACCGGTAGGATTTGTTATGGCTGATGCACGAGTCAACTTAGAAAGTATTGATAATTTCTTAATTAATATCAACCTGGACAGTGATAAATTAAAAGAACGTAAAATTCATGCTGAGATAGCTAACAAACCTACTGCTAAAGCTGGGAAAAGGATTATCATCACTGTAACCAGTGATGGCAAAAATTTGGTAACTGGAAGGTATTTATTAACATTGCTTATTATTATTTATAATCAAAATAATATAAGGTGTATCCGAACAGGTAATACAACCATGCAGAAGGTGATTCTTTACGTGTTAACTGTAAATTATAATAAAGAAGTAACATTTTTATGTCCGAGGTATTTAATTTAGGAAAAGAAAATTGTGTTTGAAAATTTGTAATTTAATAATTAATTTTATTATTATTAGATTAATTATAAAAAAAAGAATGTACCCAATGAACCTCTTTGGTTTGTCCCTCTGTATCACCCTTTTATCTGGTTGAGATGATTTACAAATTTTTATTTATAATAATCAAATTGTATTGGGTTGTTCTCACAGTTCGACAACCAAAGACAAACTAAACATAAAATAAATAAATATATAAATTTTAAATAATAATATATAAATAGAAATATTTATATATTTAATATATTTATATTAAAATTCTCAAAGGGTTAATTTGACAAAAAACACATTTCGCAAGCAACATTTGAATAATAATCTCATTAAGCAAAGAATAAGAAAACATAAGTAAACAAAAACAATGTTTTATTGTTTTGAAGGATAATTTAATGTACTTTTATTCTAAATAATTTTGATAAATAATTTTGTTTTGGAAAACGAAGCTTCAAACTAAAATAATGTTACTCTTTTTTTCCATGATTTATTTTCATATTTTTAATCACTCGGTTTGTATCAACCACTTGTCCGGATACACCCTATACAAGAACATGCTTTTACAGATGTGTACTGAGATTTTTATATTTTCGCAGTACAAATTACAAAAAACGTGAAGAAGGAGGCAAACTAATTGTAGAAGGTAACGGTAGCTTGAAAATCGGTGACAATGTTAGAAGCTCATCATTTAAATATACTCATCAACAATTGACACATGATCATGATGGTGAAACTGGCGTGGCTATGGTTCTTAATGCTAATTTCGGACCATCAGCAATAGTTGGTGAAATTAAGCTAACAAATAAAGAATTACATGTATTCAATAGTTATTGTGAACAAAATAAGGACTGTGCACACTTCAAACTTCAATCAACTTTGGATACAGACAGTGAGTTTAGTTTTGAATCGTTAGATTCGATAATTTGATGTTTAAACAACATTGTATAATTAAATGATTAATTTTTTTTTTTCTAGAAAAAACTTATCTGAAACAACAACAAACGGTGGAATTCGATTTGAGAAAGTTCAATATACCTGCCGAATTTGGATTACAAATTAACACTCAATATTTGAATGATATGTTTGATCATACAGCTAGTTTATACATGCATTCGACTAAAGATAAATCACAATACACTTATCAACTTTATGTTCATCCAAAGGAAGCTGGTAAGAATATATTTGGTTTTATAACATTGTTAAAATACAATATTTACATCAGTTGCATTTGTAAAAAATTCAAACCTTTTTTAATTACAGCTGCTATTTTAACTTTACCAACTCGTGAGCTGGCACTTATTGCAACATTGGATCTTCCGAAAAATAAACCAACTGGATCTTACAAATTTGTACTTTCATCGTTCTTAGATAGAAAGAATAGTCCATTAGAAAAAACAAGTTTATCAATTAACGGTGATGTTAACGCTGACAAATCTAGTTTATCCATCAATGGTGAAGCCAAACTTACCTATCCATCACAGACAAAGGTACAATTATTATATTATAATAAATTAATATGTTAAAAAAAACACACACACACACAATACTTAGATAATATATTAAATATATTTCATATTCTTTTTATATATAGGACATGTTGATAAAAGGTAAATTACATAGCAACGATCAAAATCTATTGGATGCTAGTGTCGACATTGATGTATTCGCAAAAAAATCGCAAAAAGTTAATTTAATTGCTAAAATAGTACGATTACCAATTGAAAAAGGCTATAATGTAACTGGATTAATTGAAGTAATTAGCAAAGGTCAACAACTGAAGATCGAACATAAAACACATTTGGTTTTGTCAATGAATGAAATAGGAGCTGGTTCTATATTATCGTACACCGATATAAATCAAAAACCAAGAAGTACCATACAATTATTCTCTGCTAATGAAAATGAAGCACATCTATTGATAACTCTTCCCAGTAGAGAGATCATTAGATCTGATGTTAAAATGGAATATTCGAAAAATTTACAAAAAATGGATATGGAAACGAAGGTCCTTGACAAAAAGCATTACATTGGTAGCATTGAAATTAACGATTTAAACAACTTCAAATTTGTAAATTACGAAAAGGGTAAATTACGATTTCAGTACTTTAATAATCAACATTAAAAAAAAAAAAGAAATATAATGTATAAACAATCATATTTTTACAGGCAACCCTAACGACAAATTGACTGCTAATGGTCGTGTTGTATTAGGAGAACTTGCGGAAGTTCATTCGAATTTCTATAAAAATGGTGAAAAGAAAAATTTGTTCCACGTTTTAGTACACCTTGATGAAAACAAATTTTTGAGACCCGATTTTGGATATGAGAAAGATAATATTGAATACATAGCGGTTAATATATAAATATATTTTTACACGTTATATATCTATGCAATTATTATATTTTGTTTTTATTTTTACATAGGATTACATTAGAAAGGTCATTGTTGATACAGCGCAACAAGTGAAAACAGTTACAGCTGATACAGGTAAAGAAATTGTAACAGAAATGAAGGATCTTTTAGAACATACCAAAAAAGCTCAACCAAATTTGAAACCACTTTTGGATTATTATTCTGGTGAATTGAATAAATTTAAAAACGAACTCAATGCTGATCAAACTATTCAAGAGATTCAAGCAAATATGTAAGTAAATCATGTGTGATTAATATTTTTTAAATGTTGCTTAAATAATATCATTGTCTAATGTATTTGATTAAAAAAAAATAGAAACAAACGTTTTGGATCATTTATAAATGCTGCCAATGAAATTGTTAAAAAATTTATTGAACAATTTAACGAACTCTCTAAACAATACAACATAGTTATTTCTAAATTGACTGAAGCAATGGAAGCAACTTATCCACAAATAAAAGAATCTTATAAGAAAATTTTCAACGCAGTCGTTGAAGTATTAGATGCAACTGCTAAAGTGGCCACGGCTTATATAAAAACTGTTTTAAATGTCATTAATGATCACCAAAAGGAAATCAAAGAATTGATCGTTATGGCAACAGAAGTTTTCCAAGGTGTTGCTAAAGTATTATTTAAAGCAGCTGAACAACTCAAAAAGGATCTTAATGAATTTGCAACTTTGCTCATCAATCAAGCTAAAGCTTTACCTGTTTATGAAATTGCAAAAGAGAAATATAATCAAGTGAAAAACTTCGAAGTACCGCAACAAATAATAAACTCTATTGAAGAGTTTTGCAACATGATAAAAGCAGGATTACCAACGGAAGAATTAAAAAATGTCTTCAGTTCAATATGCGACTATGTAATGATGATTATCAAACGACAAAAGGTAAATATTATTATCATTTGATTTTTGCATATATTTACAAACAAACAACATTATTTTCTTTTGATTTTACAGCCTGACAATGCTCAACACTTGAATAAAATTTATACACAAGGCATTGCTGTACTTAAATCTTTAATAGATCTAATAGAAACACCAACATTCTATTATAATGTTAAAAACATTTTCGACACTAATGTACCAATCAATTTGGGTCTTTTAAGTAAATTACCTGGTATTGCCTCATTGAAAATTTCAGTCTTAAATGTTTTGCGAAACGGTGAATTACCAACACCTCTTGATGTTTACTACACCTACAGGTATGTTCAAGATTGATGTTTCATAATTTTGACATTGTCCAATTATATAAGGTAACATATATTTTTTATGATGATATTCGTACAGGCCTACTTTGCATGTAAATGACATCGTACCGCCATTCAGTAAAACAGGAACTGTCATTGATGGAGGACACATCTTTACATTCGATGGAAATCATTTGACATTACCTGGAACATGCAATTATATTCTAGCACAAGACATGCAAGATGGTAATTTCTCAGTTATCGGAAACTTCCAAAATGGAGTTTTAGTCAGTGTAACTATTACTGAACCCAAAGAAAGTATCACCCTAAAAAGCAATGGAAACGTAAGTAATTCACATATTTATGATTGTTTTATAAAATACATACATGTATCTATTGATCATTTATTACATTATTTACAAAACAATATTAAAAAAAAAAAAATATACATTTGACAGATCTTGGTAAACAACAAACCCGCGGATTATCCTGCTAATACAAAGAATTTACATGCTTTCTTGACCAAACCATTAGTTAATGTAAAATCTGATTACGGTGTAAGGGTAATATGTAATGGAAAAGCACCTATGATTTGTACAATACGAGTTTCTGGCTTTTACCTTGGCAAATTACGTGGACTTCTTGGTGATGGCAATAATGAACCATATGACGATTTTACTTTGCCATCTGGAAAGGTACTTTTGTCATATTATTCATTTTATTTTTAATATTATTATATATAACACATACACATTCAAATTCCGTAACATTTCTAGATTACTCAAGACGAGAGTGAGTTTGGAAATGCTTACAAATTAAAAGGAGATTGTCCAGCAGTTACTGCAGTTAAACCTGGTGCACCAACTGCAGCTTGTGCTGAATATTTCACCAAACCTACTTCACCATTAAGGTATAATATATTGTTTCATTTCTTTTATTAAAATCAAAAAATGTTTATATATTTTTATTGAAATATTTATTTAAATGTTTTAGCTCCTGCTTTAAAATAGTTAACCCGAAAATCTATCGGGATGCTTGCGATCAAATCGTAAATGCTGGTACTTCTAAGGAAGGAAAATGTTCGATTGCAATGGCATATTATGTAGCCTGTTACGAGCACAATGTCTTTGGCATAAGCATGCCTACTGATTGCGGTATTTTTTAATTCTTTATTATACTTTTCTAGAATTAAAAATAATTCTATATAAAAATATTTATTATTATATTAATTACAAAACACTAATTAACGTAAAATATAAATCAAATTATTATTATTTCAGTAAGCTGTAAAGTTGGCGCAAATTCATTGACCGTTGGTGAAAAATTCAGTGTCAAGTTACCAAAGAAAGAAGCCGATATTATTTTCGTAGTAGAAGAGACAGTACAAAATGAAAAAGTTTTCAAGGATATGATCGTACCACTTATGAGTGAATTAAGAGAAGAATTGAAACATCATGGCTTAACGTATGTATTAAATATCATACACTTTAAATGTAATTACAAGTTTAAATTAAAAAAAAAAAAGAAACGGAAACAATAATAATAAATGAAATAAATTTATAGTGACGTTCATATTGGTCTCGTTGGTTTTGGTGAACACTTGAACTGGCCACGTCATTATACAACTGACGGCAACACAAACATCGTAGGTGAAGTAAAGAACATTAAATTCGAAGGAGAAAACCCAATCATATCATTACCAGTAAGTTAATTAAACTTATTTAACATGAATGAATTTTATTGAACTACTACTCACTCATATTTGTCTTTGTATTCATTAATTTTAGGAAGCTATAAAAGGAGATTTAACTAAAAAATTCAAATATCTCGAGCAAAGATATGACGTTGAATTTGGTACTTTCAAATTAACTGAAGCTTATGAACAAGCAATAAATTATCAATTTAGACCGGAAGCAGTTAAAGCTGTTGTTGGTGTCATAACCAGTCCATGTGAAAAGAGTCCTCTACTTATTTCAGTAAGTCTATTTTCATTCTATTATTCATTCTTAATTATATTATATTGAATTATATGTAATTAAAAAAAAAAAAAAATCTTAACAGTTACAGCAATTGCGTTTACTTCTTGGACAAAAAGTGTATCGTGATCTGGGATTAGAATATTACCACGTGTCATTCCTAAATGATATTCTTATTTCTGGAAAACCACAGAAGAATATCGTTGGTTATGATTATGACAGTGCTTATACTTTCTCTGATAGTAAAAAGAAACCTATGGAAGGAAGTAATGATCTTAGAAATAACCTTGTTTTATCAACAAACGATGTTTGTGCAGACTTTGCTGCATCCGTGAGTACAAGTTTTACATTTCTTTTTTTTTTATTTGATATTGTTACAATTTCTGATGATAAATTTATTAAAACTCATTTGTTATAATTAGTCCGGTGGAGCAGCATTTAATTCGAACAATTTCTTGGAAGCTAAACCAAATCAAAGAAAACAGTTCGTTCAAGTAGTTGCTCGAAGAATTACCAGTGGTCTTGTGGACACTGAAATCGAAGAGGATTGCGTGTGCAAACTATCTTACGGAGCATTTGCTCGTCCACGTTGCAAAGTTGTAAACAAGAGAGAGAAGGAACCTCTGACGGTATGTAAAATTTTAATAAAAGTAAAGAAATATTACAATGATACAAATTTATACAAAAATTTATGAAACTATTAATATAATGAATAATTTATATGTTCATTTATCTTGTTACAGAGGCACACCAAGGGTGGAGTTAAGGGATAGATCTGTCTCGTATAATAGTAGAGACTATTATTATTATTAATTAATCAAAATGTAATGTATTTGCTTATTAAGCCGTTACTAATGTATTTAGTAATATATAAGATTGTGTCATTTAAGATTCACACCTATTTTATATAAAATGACAAAGCACCATTAAAACACCATTATAACATAATAAATTCGATATTATAATTGTTAAACAAGTGTATCATTATTTCTTTTAAGAAAGCCTTCTGTAACAAGAGAACAAAATGAAATGATTATGAAATCTATTGCTTTAATACTGTTCAACAGTATGTTCACTATGCTCAGCTTCTAAAACGAGAAAAATACTTGTTTTTTCATCATTTGATTCACTCTGTAAGTCTTGTAAGAACAGTTCGCAAATTTCGCAAAGAAACTTCATTGATATCAGTCTTCCTTTTTAAAATATTTCTTAATTCCTCGCATATCGAATTTACACGTTCATTCAGTTCTTGAGATGTAATATTACATTTGATTGTTTCTGTTTCTATCCTTGGTATCTTTACATCTCTTTTGGAATCTTGGAAATTCATACAAATATGCCTCGTACTTCCATTAAGGAAATATTTAATTAAACACAATAAATAAACTTTAATATCTCGAACATCTTGCAATTTGTAATATTGCATGCGCGACAGATATGCAGGTACGGAATCGCAAATTTTTGATTTTCCAGAAATGGTATCCGCAATTTTTACCACAAGTCCTTCGCTAAGACATGTACTTGAAAAACGATCGAAACATTCGAGATTTTCTTGATACACCCACGGGTTTTCATCCTCCAACAATCTGGAATGTATCTTTACAACTCCGTTAATCACATTATTAGGTTCGTACTTCTTAAATGTTGCAATTAAATCTTCTAAATAATATGCTATTTTTATTTTAGCATGAGGTAATGCGTGCAAAGATAAATTACTTATAGCATTAATGATCTGTAAAAAAAAAACAAAAATAAACCAATCGTACAGATCGAAATTTAGTCTTGTTTTTTCAAATATAAAAATAACAAAAATATACACACCGAATCTTTATTAAAAAATTCGTATTTAGTACCATCAAGTATACTCATGGAAAAATCAGATAATATAAATAAATATCTATACTCGCATTCTTCGATGATATTTGTAATAAATTCCCATAATTTGGACACAACGTTAAACATTTTTGTATCCATTGTAGAACTAAATTTATTTGTTGCTGGTATTAATTTCATCTACGATCAAAATAATATAAATAATAGTACTAATTTATAAATAATATCAAATAATATATCATTAAAATATTCAAGTTATTATTACCAATTGATACCAGTGTTTTTCACTAGGTTCTTCGAAAAAATTATTAACTAAATCTTGAATATTATTAATTCTAAAAGCTAAACGTTTACTTATTACCATACGTGTTTGATTAGGTAACAATTGTGAAAAATGTGTCCACAAACACGTATCTATATCGTCTAATTCGATTACTACAGAATGCTTTACATTTTCTTGTAGTAAATTATACAATCTGCTAATCAAATTTTTTAAAATACAAACTTCAAAAGTATTGTTACGTTCGATCAAAACAGCATATGTGCGCATTAAATATTTTACGTGAGAACTACATAAATCAGATGAACTGTACCTAAAAAAACAAATCATCATATTTTCCAAACTACGCAAATATTTAATAAATATCCAAATGATTATAGCTCACCGTCCTATGAGATACCAAACATCAGAACTCAGTAAAGAATTCCAAAAGTATCCGCTCAAAAGATGTTTTAATAATATTTTTTCAACAACATGGAAATTTTGGGAAGGTATAGAAACAATGAATTTACTAATCGATATCAAAGTTATTGTATAAAGATCATTAGAACATGGTTTTTTATTGATACTGTAATTACTCGTGAATTGCAATTCTTCTGTATAAAGTTCTTCTTGTACTTCGTAAAAAAAAATGAATAATTATAAAACAAACGATTCTGAATTATTATTGACTTACAATAATTAAAATTTGTGAAAACAATATCNAAGATCATTAGAACATGGTTTTTTATTGATACTGTAATTACTCGTGAATTGCAATTCTTCTGTATAAAGTTCTTCTTGTACTTCGTAAAAAAAAAAAAAAAAAACAAAGAAAACAAAGAAAATAATCACTTACAATAATTAAAATTTGTGAAAACAATATCGAATACCGATTGTGTTCCTAACATCCAAATACAATGTTTATCATATGGAATTTTATTAATTGTTTCCAAAATTGCAAGTGTTAATAAATGAAAACCTAATTTATCACCATCCTTTTTTCTTCCATATTGAAAATAAATCTATAAAATAGTTTAATAAATTAAAAAAAAAAATTAATTCATTTATCATTAAATGATAATAATTTAAAAAATTGAACAAACTTGATCAAAGTTGTTAGTTTTCAATAGAGCATTAAGAAGATTCGTTGTTGTTGATGAAATATCATTTTTCAGCGTATCATTTGTTATATTTTTTGTTAAAAAAGCGATACACCTGGGTCAAACGAACATACATTTATTTTTTATTTTAACGAGATATATTTTTTTTTGAATAATATAAGAGAGAGAAAAAATTTAAATAATTAATATACCTATATAATTTCAATAAAAGTTCAGTCAACGTAAAGAGAAAATCATCATTTAAATATTCATTGTAAGCTGATGTCAATCTAATAATGACGTTTACAATTAAACAAGCACTTCTTAATATCCATTCTTTCGTGTTACTATTTGGATCCTAATTATAAAATAAATATATCAATAAATTTTTATAATTAAATTTAAAAAATAAAGATTTTTTAAAGGATAATATTACTACCAAAACTGTGGAATATAAAAGATTGGTTTTCTCTGTTATTTGTTGAAATGACATAAGTATTTTTTCTGGAGATGTTTTTTTAATATCAGAGATATAAGTCATATTTAATTTACCAAAAATCATTGTTACTTTAACGAAAGATTTCATGTCTAAACTTTGTAAATTTGCAGCAACAGCACCAAGTAATGTTATTACTGTATTAGAAGATAATACAAAATAATTAGTCAAAAAATATAATGTTAACAATAAGTTCAATTATTTGTAACTTTAAAAAAATAATAATATAAAATTATATACCGTTTATTAATGACGTCATATCAGATTCTACGTTAACGTCAAAAATAATAACATCATCTAATACAGTCAAAAATATACTCAAAATTTCATTTGTTTTTTGAAAAAGATTTTTTAAATCAGTGGATAAATCTTTAAACAAATTTCCATAAATATTTGAACTGAAAAATAATTCGCAATATAATATAAAATTAATCATATTAATTAAATTAAACAATATATTACTGTATTAATAAATTACCTTGACTGACAATGTTCAAAAATTAAATTTATAGAAGAAAGTAACGTTTCAGACAACGATTTAACATATTCAATGGAAACTTTTCCACAACTAAATGAATATTCCATTGATTTTTTATAAAAATTCAATATATTACTACTATCAAATAATTTGTCTTTTATATTACTCAAAATGTTTGATTCTGTAGTACTTGTTAAAAATATATTAATTATTTTGAAAACCTGTTAAGTATAAATGTCTTATTTTATTATTACAAAAAGCTAAATTACAATATAATTTATGCAAATAAAAAATTACTTGACATAGAAGAGAATGAACCGTTGGTAAAATTTGACTAAAAATATTTTCATCGTACAACTCTTGTTTGCACATAGACAAACATTTCTCAAACAATTGCAACCATTCTTCTATTTTTATTGTTGGATTTGAACTCAATGAGGCAGCGTATAAATAAATAAATTAAGGAAAGTATATACTTATTTAAAAAAAAAAAAACATTCTATTATTTTAATTTTAAAAGGATATTTTTAATTGTGATTTAAGAAATTCCAATTCCATATTTCTTGTAGTTGTAAATATAGAATTATTTAATTGATCTTCATTTGATTCTTTAGCAGACATATTTTTCTAAATAATTAATAAATTATTCTTAAAACAATCAATAGAATACATTTATAAAAATACGTGACGTTTCAAAATAACTCGTAAAATATACATTGTAATAATTTGACATATAAACATTGACATAACCTCTACATACTTTATACATAATTATATTAAACGATATACGTATTAATAGATAATATTAAACAATATTAAATATGTTTTTAATAAATAATATAAAAATAACTTACAGTTTGTTAACCAACACTTTAAATTTGAAATTACTTCACACAGTGAATTCAATACAAACAATTCTTAACGTCCATCGTGTTATTTTATAGTCGTACTAGATGGCATCAGGGTTTAAAGAATATGATACAAAGTTTAGAAACTAGAGGGCAGCTAAGTATTGACACCAATCTTTTTGAAATTACTACCCCCTCCCCAACTGTATTATCGACATATATTTTTAATAAAAAAAAAAATAAATTTTTTATTTATTTGAGTATATTTTACTTATAAAAATCTATTTATAATATATACATACAAAATAAAATTTAATAGAGTAATTCTATTAATTTATATTAAATCCCGATAGAATTTTATTTGTAATTATTATTGTATAATAATAAAACTATGTTTTATTATTAATATTTAAATCGTATGATATATTTAAAAAATTATTATCAATATATTCTTATCAATATTAAAATATTGTTCTACTAAATCTTCTAACATGCAATCTAATGATTAGAACTTTGACTTCAAGTAAACTGCCCATATTAATCGAAAGTATGGCACAGTGTCAGTAAGAATCAGAAAGACAGAAGAGAAAAGTGGATTCGTATCATGGGTGATGTCATGGCAACTACAGACAACAAGCTGCCAGATCACGAAATAGTTTTGATCAATAATCCTGAATTACTGGCAAAACCTTCGAGTGTTCTATTAATGATTTCGAGAATTCTATATCACACAGACAATAGGAGAATAGGTCTTGCACCTTTGGAACAATTTGTTGATGAAAGAATCGAATTTAAATTCGTACGTCCACACACACATACATAAAATGATCAAATCTAAAAGATCGATAAATTAGTATATTAAAATAAACGATGTTAGTAATTATCAAACAATATCATTGAAATATATAATAACTAGATAGGAGGAAAAAAAATGGATGAAATAAATTTGTAAAAATTGAAACAGATCTTTAAGTACAATGATCTTGAAAAAAAAACAAAAATGGCATATATGTATATCGTGTTTCTAAACTCTTCTGTAAGAGACTCCTAACTCTAGTTGCAAGTTCGTGAATCATGAAACACGGATCGATTCTTGAGTTCGAATACCTCAACGGAAAATCCGTAGAAGATATAGACGAGGGCGGGTTCAAGGTAATTGCCGTTGTGGATATAACGCGACCCCCCCAGGTTGCACGAAATACAAAAAAGCAACGTACCGTTCGACTACCCTTCTCCTTTTCCTTTCGGTGAGAGAGGGTGGTAGAAATTCACTACTGAATCACGAGCAAAGTAATAGTAGTAGTGGTAAAACGATCATAGTAGAAGAGGGCAATGGATGAAACTCGTCAGTCGGCATTCGATCGTGCTGTGAACACGATGCGAATGATCCGATCATATTTTCGTTCATTCGCATGAAAGAAAAAAAAATAGTAAATATAATTTAATTGTTACTAATATATGTATATATTTATATGTATATGTATGTGAAGAAAAATTCAAGAAACAATCTTTTTTGGAAAATCCTAATCGTTCGAATTACCAAAGGTATCGTTTAATAAATAAATAGACAAAAAAATATATTTCATTATTTTTCAATAGATATTACGAATGAAAATATTTGACAAATTTTTTTGTTTATATAGAAAAACGTAAAAATGTCAGAGATTCGTAGATCGGTTGTACGAGTTCGTCAACTCTCATTGCAACCACCTACACCGCGAAGATGGCAATTGAGACGACAAAAAACGTCAGATGACGAACAATCTTCAAAGATTCACAATGATCCTATTGGATCTGATAGAAGTCGTGCTAATTCGAGATCAGGATCTTCGAGACCGAAGGTCCTATTCTTAATCATTCAATATCAAATAATAATAATAATAATAATAATAATAATAATAATAATAATAATAATAATAATAATAATAATAATAATAATAATAATAATAATAATAATAATTCATTAATCATTAAAAATATCAAATATTTTGTGTATATATTATTATTAATTCAAACTATTAATTAATAAATAATATATTTTCATTCAATTGCAATTAACAAATTGTTTTTGTTGAAATCTTCTAGGTACGTATAGCTTGGGGCGAACGACACCGTGAAAATAATAATATCGAGCAGGTAGAAGTAGTTGCAAGACAAATTACTGGTAAGTCAAAATCAACCATGAAAAAATCTCGAAACAGGAATATAATTGAAAATGAAGAAAAAGCATCGATACTTTATTCGAGACAAGAGTTAACTGAAAGATTAAGACTTGCATGGAAACATCGGGAAGAAAATAAAACCAATATCGATATATATTTGGCACATGGTGTACACGAAGAACAATGCAATTCTGAATCATCGAATTGTCCTATAATATCGGAACCACAAACACCATCATCAATTTCTAAAAATGAAATACTACGATCATCGGAAAATGATAGATGTCCTATTATTACCGATAATAAAAATTTGGATAATTCTTATTACGATAATACGTGTGAAATTCAAACGATCAAACGTACGGATTCTTTTGAAAGTAGAACGGACTTGGACAAGGACATTGAACAAACAAAAAGATCTAAAAAGACTAAGGTTATCGAGAACAATTTAAAAGTTGTTGAAACTTCTTCGGTTAAACTTGAAAATGATGTTTGTTATACCGAACCAATCGAGATGATAAAATATATAGAAAGTAACACTAACGAGACATTAAAAGGAACGATCGAGGTATAACTTTTGATTCGATGGTTTAAATATTAAATATATATAAATAATTATATATATTTTACATATTATTTATTTATAA